CTCAAAAAAAAAAAAAAAGGTTAAGTCGTTAAGATGACAGGAGGACGACGGAGCTATAGGCCGTGATTGGCGACGACCATTTTCAAACGAAAATGTTAACCATTTCATTTAATTAATACGTACTTTGAAATGTGTTACTAATTCATATGACAAGCTGGTCAACATTTTTAAAATTAGACGTTGCACCTAACTCTTTAAGGTAATAACATTGTCCATTATATTATCACCACCTTTCCGTTTATTCTTCTTCACTTGGCATTTTTTATATGAAATAAAATTTGAAGAAGAAGAAGCTTCTTAAGAGATAAACAATTTGAAAACACCTTATAAGATATTAGAAGATGCGTATATGGGTCCATGTTCTTTTGTTAATTTCGTGTAAATTTGTTTCTCATGTAATTGACATATTGCAGTCGAAAGCAAACTGTATGACAAGACGGAAAAATTGGAATGCAAATGCAAATACCAATGCTATTTATGCTCACCCACTTTCATATAAAATGCACGTCGTCTCCATTAAGTTCGTACCGTTACATATCCACTATGAAATATTTCGATCATGCTTACTTTTGATCACGTCTAACAACCAAATTATTTTAGGTTGGACAAAATGTTTCGTGTTATGAGTCACAAATTAACCATATCTAATGGAAGACATACAACTTTTGACAAGAGAAATAATAGTTACAAAACTTATATGCAACCTATCATACAAGTTTTTGCGTACCTAGTATCAAAAGATTATACGCAATGGAATACATTTGAGATTTACACTGTATTAGATATCAGTTTATGATGTTTTCTTTGTTTAATTTGAAAGTGGCACAAATTATACTATTACTTATGAAGATGATAAAATGAAAGAACCAATCACACACCTTGAAGACACTAATTCAAAATTATAAGATAAGATATTAATTACAAATAGATAAATCATTAAGTTTTGAAAAAACAGATAAAGCAGTAATAATTTGCCTTAGCGTGTGCTTTACAAAAGTCAATCTGAGAATGCCTTTGTCTTGATGCGTGGAATACAAGATACATACTTTCCTCATCATCATCAGTTCATTCTTCAGTTGTACAAATTCTATACCTCTTTCATTTTTCTTTTTATTTATTTCTTTTATATAAGCCATTATTTTGTTTGCCTCACACCATTCTATTACGTCTTCTTCAAACGATCAATGTGTATTGTATACTATACATATATGCATGTAGCTAGTAAATTTAGACTTCACGTGAAATTTGATATACTCCACTTGAAATACTTTCGATTTTCATTGATTTTCATTGATTTTCATTGACTTTAGAAAATGATTGAAAACTTTTCTTATAATTTACCACGGAAAAATAAATCAGAAACTAGCCACCCAAAGTATATATATATTATCATCTGTTACATATTACTTAAAGAGAATTTATGACTGTTTATAATAGTCTAAGACCTCTTGTAAAATCGCCGAAAAACGCCAATTCTCTTTAGATTTGTCGCTTTTTTTTTGGTTTTATATACGATCGTTTAAATCAATCTTAAAACACTATGGACTATTTAAAAAACATACACGATATGGCTGCACTTTCTCGTGTAAACCATCCACGATGGCTGCTGATATTTGGAATGATTGTTTTTCCGTTAAATGGATATTCCAATTATTTTTTTAACTTAATAAAAAGAAAATAAGCTGATTGGTTGTAGAAGTAGAACAATAATTTAGACGACGCGTAACAAAAACAATTGCATGATTAGACCATGTTTATTGCAGGTCCCTTAAGCTGAGTCCCTTAGCGTACGGTCCCTTAGCTTTTAACTGAAAATGCTAAGGGACGTCCCTTAAATCCCTTATATAAGGGACGTCCCTTAACGTTTTCAGTTAAAAGCTAAGGGACTGTACGCTAAGGGACCCAGCTTAAGGGACCTGCAATAAACATGCTCTTAGTGTCCGCTTCCAAAAGCTAACAAACAATGGGTTTGGTTGGTGTCATTGTTGATATTTATATGAACATATTTATTATCTTATATTTCTTCTTTATTATTTCTCTCTTTTTCTATTTGTCATTTTATTCGTGACTCTTTCTCCTTTTCTACAAAATTTTTGTTTATCATCTATTTTATTTGCCTTTTCTATTCGTTTATGTTTAATTATTTTATTATGGTCTTGCAGTTGTTGGGTTACATCAAATCTGACCTACTAGCATGTAAAGATAGTCCACAATTAATATATTAGAGTCAAATAACAATGATCAAAATATAATTTATGTAGAAACAACGATAAGCGATTCTCAGCTATACTTTGTAGCTCTAAACTACACATGCTGACATGCATTGCATCCAAATCAAAACAACTATATTGTCGGAAATTTTTGTTCAAGAAAAAATATCACAAATTACATAAAATATATATAGATTGTTTATGGATATGCATGATTATTAGTTATAGCTTTACCATATAAATTACATTACCATCAAAACTTGACATAACATTTTTAGTTCCTAGACCAAAAAAAAACATTTCAGTTCATGCTAGTATTGTCCAAGTTGTCAGTATCTAGATTATAACCCATATAATATATATACATCGTTGATCAGCTATAACAATTACCAATATAAATCGTTTGGGGATCTAGATATGTTACAGATAGTTACTTAAACACACACCACAGATAACTTATGTTACTTGAGTCATATATAGAAGTTAAATATTCAAAAGTTTTGTTTTTGCCTTTTCAAAAACGTTTGATTTTTGTCCTTTCAGAAAATGAAGTTTGGTTTTAATTAGTATATACCACCAATTATTTTATATGGTATATCAATAACAGTTACAAAATCTTATGACATAAATTGTAAACGTTTATGAACTGTAAACAACTCATAATTAACCCTAATGTTCATAATCGCGTACGACGTTAAGTAGCTAATTTCGCAACGTATACGTCAACTTCAATGAACCAAAAACGAGAGATAACTGTGTAAACTAAATGATAAACGCAATCAGCAGGGTGCGATGATAATACACACAAATGGCTACTACTAGCCTATACGTACAGAGTCGCTGCTCAAAACATTGTATATAATGTCTCTTTCTTGTATAGTGTTTGTGTGTGTGTGTTTATCATGTTTAGTTCTTCACACAAGTATATTGATAGACGTTTTAGTATTATTTATTTTAGAGCAAAATGAGACTGTAGATATATATAGTATCATCAGTGTCGACTAACAACAAAACCTCAAGTTTGAGTTGTTTTTAAAGGTTCTAGCCCCAAGGTATCTTTACATGTTTGATATGGAATGGATTGTAGTTATATAGACATGTTATATATGAGTTAATTTATCGGTTGTGTGAAAGGAAAATGAGTTGACAAGATCAAGAATATATTATCGCCGACAAAAATCGATTAGTAATCCCAACTAATAGAAAAGACCCCTATTTATACGTTGGTTAGTATATCACATTCATTTGGTTATTCTTAAAATTAAATATATTAAAACCTCCCAAATCCTCACGTTTAAATAAAAAATAGTAATACTATATCATTATCGCATACTAGGTGTTTTGCCCGCACTTGCGGGCATAATTCTCTTACGAATATTTATTAGTTGATTTTTCATTAATTTATTATTTATGTTTTAAAATATTACTAATCAAACATCAAATAATTATAAATGACAAAACTCAAACATCAGAAATATTTTTAAAAATATATTTCTATAATTATTTTGCTTGATTTATATTTAATTATAATATTTATACAAATATTTTTAATTAATTCATATTTAATTATAATTTTTAATATATTAATTTCAATTTTATAATAGAAAAAAATATTTTCAAAATAGCAATATAATGCATAAGCTATTTATTTTCTAAAAATATAATATGATAAATTCGTTTTAATTATATAATAATTAGATAAGATTATAGAAATGATGACAAATAATTAAAAATACTTAAAATCATGGAGAACTTAACAAAGTAGAAAATTCACTTATTAAATAATTTTGCTTCAGTGATGATTATTTAATTTATAATATATAATTTTCTATTGTACTTTTAAATTATATAATATAAAAATATATTTTCAAGATGACAACATAATACATAAGAATTACCTTATTTTCTAAAAGTCTAATATTATTAGTGTAAATTTATTTTAACTATAGAATAACTACAAATTTTTATATCTTCATTTTAAATTTCTAGTAGAAAAATATATATTTAAGATAACAACATATTACATAAGAATTATCTTATTTTAGGAAAATATAAAATTATTAATATAAATTTGTTTTAGTTATATAATAAATATAATAATTTTTATATCTTAATTTAAATTTTAAGTTTTATATATAAAAATATAGTTCAAGATAACAACATAATTCACAAGAATTATCTTCTTTCCCAAAAATATGTTATATTCATATAAATTCGTTTTTATTAAATAATAAATTATATATGATATTATTTAAATAAGGTAAATAATCAAATTTACCTAAAATCAAGGAGAAGTTGACAACTAAGCCAATTTACTTCTTATATAATAGTATAGATATCACATTTTCTCTCATAATGGGCCTACAATAGGCAGGTATAGAATTTAAGCCCACCAAACCCAAACCTTCTAACTTTCTTGGCGGGTCGTCTCCACATCCCCTGAGATAAAACCGTAGCCGTCCGATCCAGATTCAGCTGATTATCCCATTTATCTACACCGTCACATTTTAAAAATACAATTATCAATTTCAAGTTTCCAAGCCCTCTTATTACTGTATAGCTCTCTCTCACACTTGGTCTATGTTCTTTCCATTTAAACAAAAATCCTTCGTTGATTCCCATAAAAGGCTCTGATCAATTCCTTCGTCGTCTTCGTCTCATCCTCAGATTCCGTCCCATAGTTTGTTACGCTGAGCTTGAATTTGTGATGATCTCGAGGTACTAAAAGGATCTGATCCAATTCGCGCTTTTTTTTCTTTTCTTTTTTTTTCTTTCCCTGAGATCGTAATCCGTGGATTTAGGTTTTAGAGTTTTCGTATTAGTCCTCCTTACTGTTGAATTAGCTAATACTTTCTCCTTTTCGAATTAGTTTTATATGATATTCTATTTTTCTATCGGTTGAAAAGTGGTTAACTGCATAGTTAATAATGTTTTTATCTTGAAAATATGTAAAATTAAATGTTTCCTTAATCTATGTGTAAAAAACTAGAATGACAAATAAATTGAAACGGAGGGAGTATATAATTAGGGTTATCTCATTCTCAACTGTTGGCTTTGATGTTTTGGCTTTGATTTGTTTTTTATTTTATTTTGGGGGTTCAGTAAATGAGCTTTGCACCAGGGGACAGTTGGGGTGCAGTGAGAGGAAAGTGAGTAACAAAGAACAAGGAAGATGATAAACAAGACGCTTGTACTGACATATATATACTTACTCATTTACATTGTACTCTCTTCAGGAGTCATTCTCTACAACAAAGTGAGTGGTTTCAATTTTCTATTACAACTTTATTGATAGAGATGAAACTGTAGGCAGAGGACTTTTTTTTGTTTGTAGTGTTGTGATGTTAAGTATCTGATAGAGATATGGAAAGTGTAACTGTAGGTTAATAGATGTATCTTGTTGTAGTGCTTTTGGTACGGAGAAGGGTTAAATTGTAAATCATGTTTCTTTTAATTTGCAGTGGGTTTTATCCCCAAAGTACTTCAATTTTCCACTTCCTATAACGTTGACGATGATCCATATGGGGTTTTCTGGATTCGTGGCCTTCCTTCTTATTCGTGTCTTCAAGGTAACATTTTACTTTCTTCTTAGAATATGCTTACTTGCATTAGAATGTAGTATGCTTATGAAAATCATATGTGGAGTTCTTTTTTTAAGATATCATATCTTCTATGGACCCTTGAACTCCTTTTTTCTCTTGTGCATTGATACGTTTTTACCTTCGTGTTGTTTAGGTTGTAGCTCCGGTTAAAATGACATTCGAAATGTAAGTCAGCTTACTCGGTATCTTCTCATTTTCTTCCTCTTGTACGCAAGTTCCACCACCTCTCTGTTTTGACACACTATTTGTGTCCAACAGATACGCTACATGTGTGGTACCTATAAGCGCATTCTTTGCTTCAAGCCTGTGGTAAGTTCCTGTTCTATACACGCTAAACACTGTTGGTTTCGTTGATGCTCTTCTTCTTGATACCTTTTAGTCATACTTGCTTCCTAAATCGTCCCTTCTCCATCTTATATCCTCCTTTGTGCAGGTTTGGCAATACTGCATACTTGCACATTTCTGTTGCCTTCATTCAGATGCTCAAAGCTCTAAGTATGTGAAGACTTCACATTTTTGCTACATAATCTACTTTAGTAGAGAATTTCCGTTCATTGTACAAAGAACTCATACATGATTTTGTAATTTCAGTGCCAGTAGCAACATTTATCATGGCAGTTATTTGCGGCACTGACAAACCAAGGTGCGACGTGTTCTCAAACATGTTGCTGGTCAGTGTTGGAGTTGTGATATCTTCTTATGGGGAAATCCATTTCAATATAGTTGGCACGGTCTATCAGGTGACAGGCATATTTGCTGAAGCACTTAGACTGGTGCTAACTCAAGTTCTTCTCCAGAAGAAGGGCTTGACATTAAACCCTATTAACAGCTTATATTACATAGCTCCCTGCAGGTATTCACTCCTAATTCTTGATTGTGCTCAAACAATTATACTTGTATAATATGATGTTTCAACACCTAATCTTTGGTTCCCGTTTGGATTTTCTCTCATTGTTAACGTCATGTATTATATATTGCTAGAGCATAGGTGTAAAGTTCTACTCCTCCACTACTCATTAGTACACATAATCTTCTCCTTGAAACGCTATGCTTTAATCTTGTGCAGTTTTGTTTTTCTGGCCTTCCCTTGGTATGTGTTGGAGAAACCCACGATGGAAGTTTCACAGATCCAATTCAACTTCTGGATTTTTTTCTCCAATGCTCTGTGTGCTCTTGCCTTGAACTTCTCCATATTCTTAGTAATAGGGAGAACAGGTGCAGTAACAATCCGGGTTGCTGGTGTTCTCAAAGACTGGATTCTCATTGCCCTCTCCACAGTCATTTTCCCAGAGTCCACGATCACTGGGCTAAACATCATTGGATACGCAATTGGTAGGTTCCTTTTCTTGTAAATAGTTGTGAACATCTGCTTTTCCTCGAACAGTATGCAATGTTAAACTATCTATGCTTGCCATATGTGTTGATACAGCGCTTTGTGGCGTTGTCATGTACAATTACATAAAAGTGAAGGACGTGAAGGCGTCTCAACCAATCGCTGATAGTCTCCCAGATCGAATCAATAAGGTCAGTCAGTTACTCTTTATCAGAGCCCGGTTCATCTCAGGTTTGTTACATATGCTTTCAAACCCAAGGTGCATTGAGTTTATAAGCTGTGTAAGGGACCCGACAGGCTCCCATAGTAATTTTATCACACTTCCTGCAGACATATAGGGTTCTAAAGGCAAAAAAAAGAATATTAAACTTCCGAAATATTTGTTGAACCAGTTACCTTTTTGTATGTGATTAAATGTAATAAACTGATGAACACAAGCATTATATAGGAGTTGAAGATGGAGAAGAAGTCTTCAGATAAATTCAATCCAGATGTGGGTGGAGGGAGCCTAGGGGTAGGAGCCGAGATAAACGACGAGGAAGCCCCTTTGATTACTTCCCGGTTATCTCATATTGGTCGGACGCAGCTCGGAAATCACGCCGTTTAAGATGCCTGGTAAAAACTTATGATAGAGAGGTTTTACTTCTATTCTCAATTCGTTTTCTTCTTCTTTGCTACGTAAAAAAAAAGAAATATTTGAAACCAAGAGAAAAGGTGCAGCAGCATCATCCGAGACCGTGTCTCAGGTGAAAAATGTTGTACTTCTCTTCAAAATTTGCAACTTTATTAAGAAATAGATAGCCGGGTAATAGTAGTATGCTGGGTGATTAGCTTAAAAACGTTAAAGGTCACAAATTCGTTTGTAATGGAATTGACAGTTAGAGCTATATATATATATATATTCTTGTGGTCTTTGTTCTTTTCCACCAGCTCCATTTTCGTTAATATAGAAATCAATTTGTATATTGCTATTTGAGTTTCTCTTCCTGGTGGTGAGATGAGAATCAACTCTTCAAGAGCTGTCTATTATGAAACGAAAAACAGTTGCACATTTAACTACAAGACACAGATGTGGCACGCATGTATTAGTAGTGGTCTTTCACCATGATCTTTCTTTCTACAGGTGTGATAAGTCACTAATGAGAACGTGAGAGCGAGTATACCATCATGGTCTGGATTTTATACAAAAACAAGTGATTAAGTTACTACCAGAAGATGACATATACAAACCCTCTCCAATCAAAACCAAGATTCAAATGACTATCACAGCACACAATCTCTCCTCTGTCTCTCTCATGGAGTGTAAACAAATGAATAAGCAAGATGAATTATCAAACCTCAAGATGCAATTACATCACACCACGTGAATAAATAAATATACAGACAGACATTTTTATCTTTGCATGTACTCTGGATTCCTCAAGTACAGTAGCTTCCTCGATGGCGCTGGAGGAGCTAATCCTGGGATGTCCCTAATGTCTTTGTTATTCGGGTGTACGATCTGTAGACAGTTCATACAAAAAAACAGAGTTACAACTTTCTAATGACCAATCACAACTTTCATTAAGATGAGTAAAGAAAGTACCTTCACTACGATAATGGCTACAACACCACATACAATGAGAAACAGAAACATCATTATGCATTTATCAGTAGCCACCTGAAACATAAGTCGACATAAGAGATTCAGCAGTCAAGTAAGAAGAGAAATAAATATATGTCAGTATCAAGATGTAACCTGTCTTCCTATCTCTTTCACTAGTTGAGAAGCCTTCTTGAGAGAGAACTGAATCGTGTCCAAGTGGTTAACTACGCGTCCCATTTGATCCGTCTGCAATATTTTTAGACTAAATGAGTGAGTCTGCGGCCGGTAAGATTAATAGGATGCTTTGCATTTTACCTGTCCCTTTAAGTTAGCTGCAGTTTGAGTTCCAACTTCGATTGTTTGCTCTACAACCTGAAAGGTGGAACAAAGATATAGTAACAACGAATGAAAGAAACAAACTAACTTATTTTCTGTGACTTACTTGTTTAGAGCGCTCAATGGCCTGATCAGTCTCATCCATTCTTTTCATTCCAGCGTCAACAAGCTCCTGGTTTGACATTTCTATACATAAAAACTACATTAGCTCCACGCCAGTTTTGTCATTATTGTTCACCAGAATTTACTTACATACATAAGAAACTATAGAGCATAAATAACTAGTCCACCATGTTTAAGTAAATATAGCATCAATCAATGAGTTTAAGGTTCTGACATGTCAATGTTTTGATGTGTTGGCGACAATTCATTTCTTGGTATCATAGAATAGCTAGAAGGCATAGGGACTGACCTGAAGCAACTTGAACATTTTCTTCAGCTGTAGGTTCAGCGCTGGGTCCAGCTCCCATATCAAAAAGCTCAACTTTCTTGTTGCCAAGGGTACTCATATACCTGAACTCACAGAACAAAGTCAACATGTAAGAACACATAAACCAATAGAAGTCCTAGAAACAGACATGTGCTGAACGGATACAATATGTAGCTAAACCAAAAGAGAAATGATAGAAGCACTTACGTTTTTCTTAGTGCAACATAAGAGTTGAGTTCCTTAATCTGTGACATTATAGACAAGGGAAATATTACAAATCAGAGATTAACAAATAGATATGATCAAAATAGTAACAGACTCAAAGAGCAAGGTGACCAATAGATACACAATGACACTCAAATATCCAATTGGTTACAAATGCAAACAAATTGACCAAACTGAAATACGATTGATGCTACAAAAGTGGACCTCTAAGGAGTGGTAATATTAAAGAAAAACTTCCATGAATTGATAGAAGGAGTGAACTCTAAGAAGGAGTGGTAATACTATAGAAAAGCTAACCATAGATTGTTTCTCATCGTTCAACTGCTTATTCACTTCAGGAGAATTTCTAGCTTCCTCGTCCTTGAGTTCACGGTCAAAGTCCTTAACCAACCTGACATGAAGTACAACATTAGAATAAAAATGAATATAGAAGATTGAACACCATGTCTCAAAGATTTATTTCTGTCACATGTCATCTCATCCATTTCAAAAAAGAAAAAAAGTAAGCATTACAAATATGAAAAAAGCACTACAAACTTGGTCAAATGACAGTGTGCAGAAGATGACTCAAGCACATAACAACTAACTCTTTTCCACATACACAAAAAGTAAACACTTAGAAGCCGAGAATAAAAACACAAAAGGGCATACATAAACATACCTTTTACATTCTCTCATCTTTTCAGTGAGTTCCTCAAGTTGCTTGCTTTGTCTAGTTGAATCCTTGATCTTATCCAACCTCTGAAACCCATTCCTGCAAAACATAGATAATGTTGTAAGAGAATCTTTGGTTTACACTAAAAAGAACCTATCTCTCTCTCTTACAATCAAACATATATAGAGAAAAAAAAAGCATACGCGAGGGCTCGGAAATGGTCACGGATTTCTCCATGGATCTGTTCCAATTCAGGGCTCATCGGGAGATTCGAAGCCATGTCGCCGGAAGAAACTCAGATTCCGATGATAATCAAATCGGAATTGTCTCCTCTCAGCCGGCAAACCCTAAAGAGAATAGCTTCCCCACATCCAAAGAAAAACCCTATTTTGACAAAATACTGAAGTTAATCTCCAAAAAAGGAAAATTCAAAATAAATATAATTATACAAAGAAGAATATGACTTTGGAGAATGAAACACAGAGCGTTCCAACAACGGCAAGGGAAAGAGAAGAAAGCTTATGTCAGGTGAAACCTTTTTTTTTTAATTTTTATTTCAAATATCACTTTAAACTCAATTTTATTAATTTGAAAAAGACAGATATTCGGTCGTTAAGACAGCGCAGCGCCAACTCTTTTTAATTTAGTTTTTAGGCCCCCATATTTTACAATATATTTGAATTTGTTCGAATAGTTACCAAATTATCTCTCCCAACCAAATCTTTTTAGTCAACTACCATCAAAATTATTTAATTTTTTTTTCGTCACAATCTAATATTTATATAAATTATAAACCAACCAACAAGTTTTATAAAATTTTAAAACGATATATAAAAAACGGTCAAATTCAGAATACACATTGCCTTTGCTTACATGTTAGAGGGACGCTTAAAAACACTAATCGTCGTCGCTAAGATCATCATCATAAACATCATGATTGTCTTCACCATGATCGTCGTAACAATTCTCCTCCTCTTCTTCGTCATAGTCTTCCTTCTCTACTCTATCATCATCTTGCAAAGTCTCCTCCTTCACAAATTAAACACACAAACTTCATCATCATCATCACATCACATCACATTAACGTTATAGTTTTAGCGTTTTTCAAGAACCTCTTCTTCTTTCTCAGAAGTCACAAGCCAATCCGGAAGCAACCTATCAAGCAAAACATAGTTAAGACTCGGTGTTGCTCCATCATCATGCATCCGCCGTTTCAACTGTTTCTCTCTAAGCCGTAAGTTGTAATGAACGTAAGCCGCATCTCTCCTTGACTTTCTCACGAAACGACTTTGGCATTCACCGTTGACTTGATCATACACGCTCAACTTAGGCTCACAGCCAATAGAGCAGCAAGTGTGACTCAGTATCCTAACCGCTACTCTCTGAAGTTCCAAACAGCTTATCCCATTCTGTTGCCACCACGCTGCTGGATCAAGCTCTGTTCTTGTCCCAATGGCTATATCAGTCCCAAAATCACCTTTAGCAGAGGTATAATCCGGAATCTAAAAAAAAACATAACAACAAACATAACCTTGGTTTAGCCACAGATTCTAAAGAACAATGTGTGATCTAGTTTGAACTAACCTGCATCAATGCTGTGATTCTTCTCATGTTATCAGGCTCAAGCCGAACAATACATTCATTAACTCCACGCACAACCTCAGAATGCTACATTATAACAAGCAAAACATAAGGTAACTAACAGAAAAGTTTGTTAAACGGAATAATCATTAACCTACCGCCATGAAATCAGGACGGTATCTGTAAGCAGGGTTGAAGAAATAAGCAGCAACGTAGAGAGGATGATGAAACAATGAGTTCCAATGGTAATCTATCACACGCCAAAACGGTCCATACTTCCTTGCATCATCGTTATGAATAGACTTTATGGCCAGTTTGGCGCGGCACATGTAGCCATAAGCATATGGTAACGACAGTCTCTCGCCAGCATCACCTACCATGCGTATCACCTGCATCACCGGATCAACTGACTTCAAAACGTACTGAACCTTCTTCCAGAACGCAGCGCTTGAGACCAGCTTCTCCACTTCTCTTCCCTCTTCAGACTTGGCTGCGGTCTGTGAGAGAATCCAGCTGTTGGAGTGAAACAACCCTCTGAGATTGGCCTTGTGGTCCATAAGGGTTTGAAGAGTGGTGAAACTGGACGCGTGGCGGGTGGCTTCTGGTCTGAGAAGATCTATCCCTTGTGTGAACTCGTTCTTCATGAGATTGAGGAGCCAGGTTTGATTGTAGATGAACCTTGTGATTCTTTGGCTCTTCTCCAAACACTCAGAGACGTATTCAAGCTTTGAGATGTCTTCAAGAACTAGCTCTGTGGAATGCATTGCGCAGGGAGACCAGTAAAGATTCTTTCTCTTCTCTTCAAGTAACTTTCCAGCACTTCTACAGATTGATGTGTTCTGTGTAATAACCTGCACCACATTCTCCTCACCAATGTCTTCAACTAGTTTGTCTAAGTACTTGAAAAGGCTTAAAGAATCTTCTGTTACATCAGTAGCGTCAATAGAGGAGTGGAAGTAGACACCTCGAGGGCACGAGATCAAGAAACTGATCATTGTCTTCCCCTCTGTGTTGATCCAAGTGTCTGCAAGTATAGAACACCCTGTAACCATCCAAGAAGATCTGTACTCTCTCAAGTAGCCTTTGATAGTCGTTATCTCGTCATGTACGAGTCTACCAGAAAACAACTGCCCCGAGGGCACAACATATCCTTCTCCGTACATCCCAATCAATTCAACCATCTTCTGAAAGTAAAGAGAGTTCGCTGCTTCTGTTGGAATTCCTACATGGTGGAAGAACTTGGAGATAGAGGAAGTAACTTCTCTTCTCGACACAACTCTGTTTGAGCAGCCAGTGTATGTTATTAGCTGCCTGCTTGAAGACGGTGACATAAACGTGTTCCCCTTAACTCTCTTTGGTCTTACCTCAGAGACAAATCTAGTGTTCGTTCTTTTATCTTTACTAAACCTTCCAAAGAAGTCATGTTTCTCCTCCTCCTCCTCCTCCCCATCTTCCTCTCGCTCAGGATCCTGAGAGATCCTCGTTAAAGCTCTCACGTCACCACCATCATCAGACACATTCTGTCTCTTCCCAGCTCGATGCCACTTCATATTATCTTTAATCTTCACATAAACCTCCTCAGGAGCAGCTTTACACGGCGCAACCTCTCCAGGTATCCTCGCCAAATGCTGCTTAAAACGGTTAATACCGCCACTCACAATCTTCCCACAGTAATTACACTTCACCTTCTTCTTCCTCTCGTCTTGAGCAACACCATGTTCCCATCCAGGATCAACATATCCTGAAGACGAAGAAGAAGAAGACCGCACAAGTCCAAAAGATTGCTTCCCTTTACTTCTCCTAGACAAACATCTCCCCTTCTCTTCCTCCTCTTCCTCCACCACATCATCATCATGACCATGACCATTTACATTGCTGTTATCTCTCAACTTTCTAACGGAACGACACCGTTGCAGAATCTCCTTCATCTTTAAAGACACTTCCTCTGGAGACTTATCACAATAAGTGACTTCTCCTGACACTCTAGCTAAGTGTTGCTTTAATCTGTAGATTCCTCCACTAACTATCTTCCCACAGTAGTTGCATTTGACCTTCTTCTTACGGTCATCTAATGCCACACCGTGCTCCCATCCTGGGTCTACTGCTCCCGTTGATCCAGGTGGAGCCATGCAACTTTATCAGTTCCTACTAACATTAAAGTTTTAAACTTTATCAGTTTCACTAACAAGAAACATGTTTGGTGAGCTCTAACAAAAAAAACAAGAGCAAAGTTTCCAACTTTTATGAGTTCTACATAATAAAGTTTCGAACTTTATGAGAGCTAACAGAAAAAAACAAGAAGAAAGATTCAACCTTTTTTTGCTGGTGAGTCGGAGATTTTTTTCAGAGGGGAGAAGATGAGGCGAAGTTGGAACACATTGCAGGCGGCGAGGGACGAGTCACGGGGCGAGATAGAGGTGGGTGAGGTTAGCGAATTAACTCGACTCGGGCGATTTCTAGGGTTTCTCGGCTGACTCGTCGTTTTTCAATATATTTGCAAAATGAGGGGCTTGTATTTTGAATTTATTACATTTGAGTCGCTATATAATGAAAAGTGGAATAATTAACCCTCTCTGTCTTGACTCTTTAGCCTGTCTTGTCAGATCTTTTTGTTCCGGTGTTTTGCTCTTTCATCAATATGGCAAAACTTATCTTTTGGAGTTTCCTGTGCTTGTTCTTTCCATTTTTCGTGTTGCAGAAACAGATTAACATGTAGTACTAAACTACTAATTAACCAATCTAAACAAGACCTTTTTTCCCCCAAACTGTTAATCTTTAGAACAAAAGAAGCAAAAAATAGTCTCTTATCACACTTTCCAAGCCAAAAACATCAATGCAATATCATTTTCGTAGAAATGTTTGTTCATCATCCTAATTCATCATAACTCCATACATTCAAACATCATCAAACCAGTGAACAAATACAACAAGACAGAAATCTTATAGGTTTTCAAGACATAGCCATTAACATGAAACGAATTGTCACTGCATTCCATTATACAAAAAAACACAAAGACCTAATCATAATCTAAAATCCTAAACTCAAAGTCTCCACCTTTCTCTGTGAACTGAAAGAAGCAAATGAATAAAAAAGAGTAGTCTTTTTCTTGAACCCTAAAAGAGGAGAGATCTATCATACAAACAAACCCCTACGTACCGAGAGAGATTTGTGAATCAACGGTCACTGTTCTTCCTCTTATTAGGGTTAGGGTTACTACTCTTCTCCAAAGCTTTTTGCTTACGAACAAGCTCCTGAAGATTCCCTAACGCTTCTTTAGCTCTCTGCTTAGCCTCTTTAGCTGCGAAGATCTTCTCATGAGCTTCCTTCTTCAACTCAGCCGCCGCGTTCTTCATCAAAACCGCCGAGATATTCGCCGCCGCGACGAGAGCGTTGGAAGATTCTTGGCCAAGAACCGTCTCTGCTCCGTTTTGATGAGATTTGGGGAAGAAGGAGAAATTGGGATCAGAGCAGGGCGGGCAAGTGAAGGACGAAGCTTCATCGGCGTCGGCGGAGGAGGAGGAGGAGCAAGCGAGGTGGGTGATGGAAGGGCAATTGAGGCAGAGGATGCTCTGTTCTGGAGGTGGGGAGGTGACGTGGACGTGGAGACAAACAGGGCAGAAGAGGTTACGATGCTCCTTGAGTAAACAGTCGGTGCAGAGTCGCCGGAGAGCGTTGACGGCGTAGGTTAAGAAGGCTTCTTGTTCCCCGCAAGCTGCGCATTGATGCAGGCTCTGTTCTTGATTCATCGCTCTAAGTCAATGAGATTTGGGAAGAACTCTCTCTCTCTCTAACGGTAACCCTAAATGGGAGAGAGAGAGGTGAAAGAAGCGTTTGTGTTCTTGGAGAGATATAAGATGAGAACGCAAAACTGTATTCTCTTATTGAAAGTTGTATACTTTATATAGAGAGAGGCCTTAAAAATTGGATCTTGATTCTTGTTGACTTTGAAGAAAATGAGTTCAACTCTGTTT